TAGAGATAGGTGCACACCTTTGACTTTACTGTGGATTTCCTAGATGGGGCAAAACTGATTAGATAAATAGCAGAATACACTATATATATATATATATATATATATATATATATATATATAATAGAAGCACCAATTCTGTAAAAATTTAGAGTATCTAGCTGTTTAGCTGACATTAAGCCAAATAATTGATTTTGATTATTCTATTCCATTCCAGATTTATTTATAAAGCACAACACAGTTGACTAAAGTTCTGCACACCCCAACCTGGTGCTTTACCACTGGCACTCAGTACAATGCTGCCACTACCACCACTTGACAGTTGTTACAAGATATTAAGTTAAACCAGCAATTCTGACAATTTCGAATGTTTCTACTATCTCCTCCCATCTTGGGTGAGCCTTACAAAGAATCAAGCGCACCCATCCTTATAGATTTAGCAGCCAAATCTATAAGGTAACCCTGCTCATGTGTGCTCAAACAGCAATCTCTCTTCAGACAAAGAATTTCAGCTAAAAGCCTCCAAAAGATGCCGCCAGTAAGAAATGGACATTATTCAAAGTTTACACGATTCCGGTTTGACATTTATTGTTTGTTTGGTGCAATGTTTCTCATATATTTAAATACATTTTAGTATGCACTCTTTCGTTTACCACCTATTCACTGTTAAGTAAATTATTAAAAGTTTGACTTAAGAAGCTAGTTAAATATTTAAAGTTAAAATGAGCTTATTGTTGTGATGCTTAATGTTTCTCTCATCTGTTTGCAGATTATCAACCCACTCATGTTGGCTAGTCATAGACTGCTCCTGTTGCACTGCTGGTGAGATTCATCCAAAAAGAAAAGATGAACAAAGAAATGTCGCTGAGTTGAGTTTTTCAAGGAAACAAGCCTTTTTTAAGTTTTAGCTAAAAGCTGAAGGGGCAAAAAAAATTTTTGACACAGTTATAAGTCCCACCTTAAGTCCTCGAAACATTCTTGTTGTCACTGAGGTCAAAAGCTCCGTGGTTGTGGTGTTAGACCATGACACTTTTCTTCAAAAGGCATCTGGTTTATTCGTGTGTGCCGCTTAACTTTTCAGTAAAACTGAAAGGCGTCGATGGAGCAGATCTTGTTTCTCGGTTGGCACCCTCTCAGTCCGTGCTGATGTCAAAGTCATTACATTTTGCATAGTGGCACTTGTCTCCCAGTAATTTTCATTTTACGATCATCTTAAGTCTCTTTACTTGATGGATTGTTCCTGAACATTCCAACTAATTTCTTCTTTTCATCTCACAGGGACAGTTTTGGCCAAATGGTTGAAAATTGGACACATTTGAGTATCCCAGCAGAGCAAGGCACTCATAAACACAACAATAGTGAATAGCTGAAGATACATTCTGCCAATCTTTGGATGCATTTTTGGTTCTTCTCTTTTATTTGAACTTACAAGAAATGTAACTAACTTAGGGCACTCTCATGCAAGCACGGTTTTCATATTAATCAAATACCTTTTTGGATTTATAAAGCAGTTCTTAGGTTTTACACAAATGTAAAAATTCCACTAATCTAATAAGTAAATCTTGAGAAAATGAGGACATCTTATAAACCATTTTTATTTTAAGTGGGGCAGTTTGTTGAATATTGAGCAGTTTTTATGACACCCACAAAGTGCAGCCAGCCCAACCTCTGTGGCTGTTTTGATGTGGGTGGAGATGCGTCATTTCTCAATATTGATTGTCCAGCATTTTTTCTTTCTTTCTTTCTTTCTTTGAGATTAATTTACCGCTTTAAGGATCAGACTAACCTTGTTAGCAAAAAACATGAACATCTGTGTTTTGCATGCAAGGGTGTGTGGATGAGGTCACAAGGGAGGTCAGGCCAACCCTGACCAGAAACTGCTGAGCTTTGCAAAAATATTCTCTTTTTTTTGTCCAAAAATGTAACTGAATTTCAATGGATTTTATTTTTATTTTTTTGTGGTTGACAGGATCAAAGTGGAGCATTATTATGCCCCCTCTATGTGGTTTTATTCCAGGATGACCATCGTTTAGTATCACCTCTCTTTGGTTCTATCCAGCCACTCTGATCCTACACATGGTATGGTATGTCCAGTGTAGCGTACAGTATTGATTTTTAAGCTACACGTAGTATGTTGGCCAAAAACATGACCAATACAGCTGGTCAGGCGAACCTTTTTCTCCATCTTTGTGGTGTCTTCTGCATGTGTTGCGACAAACAACTACTTCAAACAACTGCTCTCCCATGCAGGTTTTATCTTTTAACATTATCCCACCTTACATGTGAATCTCTGCAGCTCCTCCAAAGTTACTGTGGGCCTCTTGGCTGCTTATGTGATTAAATCTCTCCTTTTCCTCTCATTTTAGATGGACTGTCATGCCAGTTGTTGCCATATTGTGTCCATTTTCAGATGACGAAATGTTCATAGCTTGTTTTATGATCTCCCAGTTTGTCCCTGACCTCCTGACGGCAATCCTTGGTCTTCATCATGATGTTTGTTTGCTAATGTTCTCTAACAAGCTTCTGACATCCTTCACAGAACAGCTACATTGATAATGGCATTGAATTATACATTGTTTGGCATATCTTTACTTGTGGGTTTCAGGAAAAAGTGAGTGAAAATGAGTTTTTTTACATTGTTTGTAGAAAATGTTAACTTTTTGCATCCTCTTTAGGTACAACTTTGCATTAGCCTTTCACATAAAATGCAAAAAAAATAAAAAGTAAATAAGTTTGTATTTGTAACTTAAAGGTTCAAGGAATAATATTGCATGCCCTGTCTTTGATTTATTCTGAAAAAATTCAATCTTCAGGCAAAATTCCCATTTTCTGCTTGACAGACTTAAGTAAAACCAATTATGCTCAGTCAGTCTGCACTGAGAAGGTGATGTCTGTACAAGTTCATGGAAGCTAAGGATAAACATGAGACAATTAAAGTCAAATAAAATATATGTTGCAGTATTTATTCATGTGTGGCCTGCAAAACAATGGTCTTGAGAGAGACACTGAAATACTTCCAGGAAGAAAAACGGATGAAGCTTTAGAACTTTGTAGTAGAAAACAAAATGACTAAGTTTCTTCAGTTCTTTGGCTTCTATTGCATTTATTTTAATTGATCAAATGGATCTTAACAATAGGAAAAAAGTGTGTTTAAATAAAAATGTTCAGACGAAGGTGCACTGGAAGAATTACTAGCGTTTTTCCAGTGATCTGAGGATAAGTAAGGCTTTGGGATTGTAAATTAAATGAGAGGTTCTTATTTCTAAAAGTAAACAACTGCAAGCAGCAAACTGCAGTGCAATTGCAGGCATGAAATGAACCATGAAGCCAAATGTGGAATAGATTATCCTCTACAAATAGGCTTCTTTCATGCATCTATATGCAGCTCACAAACAGAATAAGCCATATTAATGATTACATTTTAAAATTTTACTGAGGTGTGGAAAGACTCGTTGTATGTTAGTTTTGGAGAGCAGGATTTGTGGAGGAAACGCTTTAATAACACAATAAAACCTAACTTTTACGTGAGCATATTTATTAAATAAATAAAGTGGAAAACATGCCACCTTCTTGTGGAATAAACATGAGGCAAGAAGAAACCTCTCCAACTGAGATACTTTGGATGAAGTACCGAAATGGATCTAATTGGTCGCATACGAGCCCAATGTTAACTTGACAGCACCATCTAGTGGCCAAATGTGAGTGTATAAAAAATTGAACGGGGTTAAACAGATTTAGACACAGAGAACAGATGATAAATTTCATGACCAAATGAAGATATTTAACAATAGGACGACAGTCTCTGTAGGATACAATCTGAGAGCAACTGGAAGCCAGAAATGATCAAAATTAGGCACAAAACAAACACAAAAGGTTACAAAGTGATTCTAAAAGTCAGATGTAACATTTTAAAGTTATGCATCCTCAGTATGGATAACTACGGTACTGATATATATATTTTTTTCTTTTTGGCTACTGTTACATGTAAAAGCTTATAGGAAAGTTACTTTTTTAAATATGTGGGTGATTTGCAAACTTTTGATTGATGTAAGCGATGTAAGAGCCCACTACAAAAGTAGTGAAGAACACTGGAGAGATTATGCCAATCGGGCTTGCAAATTTCTGTAGAAGTGATACATCAGTGGCATTAATTTGAACAAAATAAAAAATATTGCATGTTCTCCTTGAATAGCCTCAACATTTCATCTTTCCACATTGTACAATTACTTAAAATTGAGCAAATACAGACAAACTACCCAAAAATAAGTCTATAGCAGGAAATTGCCAATACTATTTGCTTCTTCTGCTTATTTAGTATAAACTTTTGAGCTACAGAAACCCTGACAGAATATATCAGCAAACCCCCAAAACAACATCCTTAGATAGGTTTAATAAGTGCTCTTATCCAAAATGCCATTATTAGATAATTTACACAACATGCTTGTAATTGTTGCAACACATGTATTGTGGGTACAAACAAAAATATGTGTTTTTTTTTAAGGTGTTTGCAAAAGGCATCTCATAAACAATTCAATTAAAAAAAAAATCTTAACAGTTTTTTGTTTGTCAGGATTTTTTATGTTGGCTGTGAACCCTTTTTTTCAGCAACCGTTTATAGTCTGCTAAGTCATTTGGAAATTATTATATGAATTTATGTTATGAATGAGTTATGAATTATCAATATATTATCAATGTTTCATCAAAACTGGAAACGGTGAGACACAACGTGAAGCTAAATTTAGACCAGAACCTCATTAATCAATGGTACATACGTATAAGGCCTAAATGAAAACATTTGAAAAGACAAAATTTTATATATTTGGAATTTATTGTTTCCTGTGGCGATTATTTGAATTTCAGTGCGTAAGTTTGGTTTCGGGAAAGATTGCTGCAACGCCCGAGCAGCGGATACGTAAGAAAGGCAAAGGAAAATAGATTAATTGCCTCACATAGTGGCAGCACGCGAGAAGCCAAAGCCCGCATGCGCGAAGCCTCCATCTGTCTCCTCAGTGTCCAGGAGGTTGGAGGAAGATGATGCGGCTGAGCGAACCTCGTGCGTATCGCGCCACTCTTTAGACGTAGATATATATATATATTTTTTTCACTTGCCTTGTCTAGTTTCTTGCCAAAATATATTTGCTGCTCAATGTGGAGGTGCGAGCGTAGCGACGCAGAAACTGCTTAGGTATATTGGTCAGAGAAGAAGGAGAAGAAGAAGAGAGAAGAGGGGCGAAGTGAACGGGGTTGGGCATCAAATTGCACCGGATGTCATTATACACTGTTAATTATCAAGGACGTAAGTAGCTCCTAATGTTTATGTGTTTTTGCGTTATTTACTGTGTGTCTGTGTTGTTGGGTATGTTTATAATTTCCACTCTCAAACCTGTTGAGCTTAACTGTGTAAGGTTTTAATTTGAAATTATTTCGAGGAAATAATTTAAATCTATTCTAGCATTTAGCTATTTCTGTTCTTATTTTTCTGCCTCTTATCTCTCAACACATTTCAGCCAACCACCTGTTATAAACATGAAGGAAAATACACCAAGCCGCTTTAGCTTGCAAGGTAGTTTTAAATCATGACTGGCTGTGAATATGTGGGAACTCTAGTTTTATTTTTGTATTTTCCAGCACATGCATTTAGATATTCACCGATCAGACTCTGTGTTTCTCTGGGCATTTGTTCTTAGGCCCTCATCTAAGCTCATTGATCAATTGAATTTAAGCCTCTTGAGCGGCCAGAGCTGAAACCTGCTGACACATGCGCCCCAGTCTTTTTGTTACGCTTCACCCTCTATCTCTTATCTGGCCTGTGTCTGCCTGCTGGTTGAACTACATCCTGATGTGTTATCGTGCAAAATCCCTCAAAGATTGTCCATCCCTGCAGATTATTTAATCCCTTCACCTATGTGCAACACTGGACTGAAGTACTCAGCTCTTTTCCTGAACACTCACATTGGTAAAGTAGTTACTGTATACTTGGCCATTAATTATTTAAAGGACAGCTGATCTGACTCATTGGATTAATAATAGATTAATATAAAGACAAAAGCTCTCAACTCTGTGGCAGATAAGAGCTGTTTGTTATGTAAGGCACCCTAATTAGTCTCAGTGAGACAGACATCCAGAGTTGGCCACAGCTTGTACAGGGCCCTAAACAGAATATGAGTCTGTGGGTGGGTCACCAAAACTCAGCTAAAAGCTCTTTTCCAGCCTCCATATTTGAACATTTGTGCTTTACACATTCTGCATAAATGTCAGGGTTTAGAACAGCCAAGTAAGTCAGTGACTTCTCTTTGTAAATGGAGATTAGATTTTCCACTTTACTCTTAAAATAAAGATGTCTCCTGCAGTCCAAACGCAGACTGGGGAAACCAGACGTCACAGAGCAGCCCCAAATTCAGTATTCAAAATGGGGCTGTGAAACGTAGTGAAAAATAAGGTAAACTACCCAATTAATCAGTCAGAGATAGGAGTCAACCATTTTCCTTTGATTTGCCCTGAAAGGCCAAATCAGGCTGGTGAAACACTGGAAAATCTGATTGTTTTGAATCCAAATTCATTACCTTTATGTGTCTAAGTTTCAGCATTCCCCATTTAAACAGCAGCAACCAACATGCAAAAATAGGTGGAGCATGTCCTCGGGTGCACCTTTTTATATATCTGATAAAGGTTAGTGATGTATGTTTTGAGGCTTAATAAAGAAAATCTTGTTATTTGTCTAGTTTAAAACCAGGACCTCAATCAGAAAATCTTTTGTCATTTGTGTCTTTTATGTGTTATAGCTCCAGTGTTAAACATACTATACAACCTCTAATTGTGAACATGCTTCTTTAGGGCTTCTTTGAACTAGCATGTGTGTCATGCAAAGAATTATTGGTCGTCTTAAATTGCTATGACTAGTTAGCACCAGAAGAGATGGCTTGTGTTGGTTTTCCTTCATTTAATTGAGATTCACCCAGCTAGGATGTAAGCTCTTTCCCAGATCTGAGCTCCAGCTTCCCAGACCAATCAAATTCAACATGAAATCAGCACACAACACGCTATATTAAATTAACTGAATGTTTGCTGCTTGACTCATATGAGTCTCTTCTATGAGACGTAATCCTGTGTTGAGGTAACTTGCTTAAAAGTATATTTTAACATGTTTAAATTGATTAGTTTTGATCAAAAATGTTGAGATTCTAGAGCTCATAACATAATACAGGCTCATCAGAGGATGGACATTAGCTACCAGCTCCATTTCTATGAGTGTTTCTTATTAAAAATATATATATGTGTTAGTAAACCTGACCTTTAGGTCTCTATGCAATCATCCATTTAAAGTCTGTTTTGTCATAGATAAGAATTTCATACTGGGTGTGCTGTGGTGGCGCAGGGGTTAAGCACAACCCATGTATGGAGGCCTTAGTCCTTGACGTGGCTGTCGCAGGTTCGATTCCTGCCATGGCCTGGCAATCTTTGCCACTCTCATTACCAACTTTCCTGTCAATTAACTATCAAATAAAGGCCACTAGAGCCAATAAAACCTTTTTTAAAAAAAAAGAATTTCATACTGTCCCTAACAGGAGCAATAAAAACACAATGTGCTGGATCTTGCAGCTGTTTGCAAAACTAGTACCCACTCAAGCTAGTAGGGCGTAGCCCTGTGTCCCACTGATGTGGTGTGCATGACCTGTAATTTAATTTTTGTGTCTCTTTGCTGTCTTCTGTCTCCGCAGTTTAATCACAAGCAACGGTAGAGCCATGGAGGTTGTAACACATCTTGTGAATGACACAGTAGAGTTTTATAAATGGAGCCTTACTATAGCAGGTAAGATGGGTTCACCGATTCCTGATCCACTCTCACCAGCAGCGTGGCTTATGATGCACATGTAAAGATTTGAATGTTATGCAGTAATTGTTTACTTGAATTTGAAACTTATAAAAGTACATTGTTGCATTGCTTTCCTATGCCTTGAACTTGGAGTCGACATCGATGTGACATAGACAGGATAAATGTGTGCTGCATTTTGCTAAACTGCATTTTTGAATTTAGTTATACTGCTATATCCAGTTAGAATAGGCAATAATAGTTACAAGTTTTAAGTTCTTGTTTATTTTACAAAGAAGGTATTGAAGTAGTCTCTTAAGACAAAGAGAAACAACAATGTAAACTTTCGAATCTTTCGCTTTAAAATCATCTGCTGAGATGTGGAGGTGCACATTTCTCAAGACATAAAAAAGAGGAAAAAATGTGTTCAATATTCTTTCATATGCTTTTTTGAATTCAACAATAACAAGATCTTTCCCTTTTATTCATCAAATGGTAACTTTTATTTGATTGTTTTTTAACTCAGAAAAGTGCTTCAAAGCACACTTTGCTGGTTGATGTGTTCATGAACTGAAAAAAAGTAGGAATTCTTAGTTTTGATGCACTTAATGAAAGAAAGATTTTTTTATTTTTTTGTTTTTTTGTAACCTTGTAGACCAAGAGAACATTTGTTGTCTTCTGTCTCTAGCTTGGTGATTGGTGTGTTTCAAATTAAATGTTATTTACATGGTGTGAGTAACATTTCACCTGATTAACTAAACTGTTTAGGCATAAACTAATTAAACAACCGTAGAAACTCAATAATAACGGAAACCCTCCATTTTGCCCAGACAAGAGGGTGGAGAACTGGCCGATGATGTCGTCTCCCTCTCCCACCCTGGCCATCAGCTGCCTGTACTTGATCTTCCTGTGGGCGGGGCCTAGGTACATGCAGGACCGCCAACCCTTTACACTCAGGAAGACTCTCATAGTGTACAACTTCAGCATGGTGGTCCTCAACTTCTATATCGCCAAAGAGGTTGGTGCCAGTTTAATTGTTTAGCACCCATTTACTACAAAGGTTATCCATACTTTTTACAAGAAAAGCAGGCTAAAGTTATTTCCAAAAGTGTAGCATCAAATTCAGCCTGATTTATTTTCCAATCTCACGTAGTCAAGTTCAGATAAAAAATGATACAGTTCAATTCAATCAAAATTGATTGAATTGATTGGTGGTTTATGATCCTTTGGAGTTATTTACAACATACATGTTGAAATGTTTTTAAATATTGTTCCTGAAATGAAATTTTTTATTGATACAAATGTCTGTAAATGCTGATGTTGCCTTTTGCACCCTTTTGTCAGCTCCTACTAGCATCAAGAGCCGCTGGATACAGCTACCTGTGTCAGCCTGTCAACTACTCAAGTGATGTGAATGAAGTCAGGGTAAGCTTCCCCCACTTGCACCTTTCACTAAGCTAATCTGTCCCACACATCCTATCTTGTCTGGAGAAAATTGTATTCGTTTAACAAATGTTGACGTTTAAGCCGGTTGCTAATCGCGTGCACGGCCTCGAGCGCTTTCCCCGCAGCTAACAGTTGGAGTGATACTGTAATCTTGTTGCTGACGATAAGTAGATCGCTAATTCTGCTGGGCATCAGAGCAGGAGAGAGACAGAGAGATGATGAGAACCTGGCATTTTAGGACAAAGAGGGTGTGGTAATTGGTCACACCACCTTTAAGCTGCAGCTCCACCACCTTTTGCAGCTCTGTGCTCTGGCTCAGTGGGAGGGACTCCAGGGGTCAGAGTTATCATAGTGACTTTTAGAGAATGGCCTTGTGAACCATGTGCATGTCCAACACTCAGCAAGTAATAGAACAGTATTAAACAAGAGTATAGATGGAGATTGATTATATAAGAATACGTTTCATTATTAAGAAAAATACAAATAAAATTACCTCTGACAATTTTTTTTCTTGTTTGTGTATTGTTTTTATTTTTTTAAACTGGGATTGTGTAGAGTAGCAGTCAACTTCTTATTTTTTTTGAGACACAGGTTTAAACCAGCTTGATGTTGGTAAAATTAATCTTCACAGGGAAGTTGAGCTGATTTGTCAGTGGGACCAGTTGCAAAAGCATTGTTATGCTATTTTGGAACAACTTTGTCTTTTAAATCTTCATAGAAAGACTATTTCACAAACTTTCAACGCTGTTGCGTCACTGGTGGTTATTTAAACTGAAGACAGAGGCGGTTCTCACTTCCTAGTTTATGTTCTGTGAATGCAATTTTGTAAAACAGACCTTGAAAATATCATCATAGAAAAATAAATGATTTGATTCAAAAATAATAGGTAAAACTTAGGTTAATTTTACACAAATTTAAAGCGAAACCAGTCTGACAAGCTGTTGGGTTCAATCAGACAGATGGTTTCTGTTGGTGAGATTCTCACTGTGCAAGTTCCCAAACCCAGCCTCAAGCAATCCAAATTGTCTCTTACTTAATAAAGTTCTGAAAAAGCAGCTGAATTAAAACTTTTAGGTGATTTTGCTAATTACCCTGACTGGTCTGAGTTACTAATCTTGGGTGAAACATCACCAATCCAGACATGTCTTTTTAATTCAAAAATAAGTCAAAGAAGTTCATGTCTGACATTAAGGTTAACTAAAGGTGAGTTGAAAAGAACAGGCCATTATCTGGATCACTGAACAACTATTTAGGGTCAAATTAAAGACTTAACGTTTAGTGAACTCAGCATTGAAATTATGTGATTCAAAGAACAAAGACAACAACCTGAACAAGTCTAAGTAGACTTTTCGTGATCCGCTAAATTTTGCTAACAAATATATTTATCTCTGCATAAGATATAGCCTGTCTTTACTGACTTTAAAGCCAGTTATTTGGTCAAAGTGTGAAAGTTAAACACAGCTAATGTTACCTTAAGTGAGCAAAACTGTTTTCTATTGGGAATTACATCCCACTGATATTAACATTACGCCACAGCATCATTTGAATATTTTACAGTCTTTTATGAAATCTCTAATAGTTGTTTCCATGAGGTCCGGTCAGGCTTTTATATAATTCAAAATGGCAGGCTGTCAAAAATGATGGTGTTTCTTCTAGTATTTTATCTAACCCAACAATCTGGGTCAGATTTTCCAACTGTCATCCTTAATGTCTATATAACCTGCATTACCTAAACGTTGTGTTACCGTGCAGATGTTTGACCTCTACCATCACAAATGCACTCTTGCCTCCTTTATGTCTCCAGATAGCATCTGCTCTTTGGTGGTATTACATCTCCAAAGGGGTGGAGTTCCTGGACACGGCGTTTTTTATACTGAGGAAGAAGTTCAACCAAGTCAGCTTCCTCCACGTCTACCACCACTGTACCATGTTCATCCTCTGGTGGATCGGTATCAAGTGGGTCCCTGGTGGACAGTGTGAGTAAAAGCATGTGTGATTCGTTCTGCAGTCCAGACTGAACCAATCTTTTGTACTTGCTGGAGGTTTATTAACAACCTGGACAAAATTACATCTGAGCATATCTTGACCCTGTCTGCAGCATTTTTCGGTGCAACCATCAACTCTTCCATCCACGTCCTCATGTACGGTTACTATGGACTGGCTGCCTTGGGACCTCATATGCAGAAGTATCTCTGGTGGAAGAAATACCTCACCATAATTCAGATGGTGAGTAACACATTTAAGGATTTTTTTTTACTGTTTAGACCAGGGGTGGCCAAGTCCAGTCCTCGAGAGCCACCATCCTGCAAGTTTTAGAAGTATCCTTACTCCAACAGACCGGGATCAGCTCTACAGAGGCCTGATAACGAGCCAGTCATTTGATTCAGGTGTGTTGAAGCAGGGATGCATCTGAAGCTTGCAGGATGGTGGCTCTCGAGGACTGGACTTGGCCACCCCTGGTTTAGACATAGATTCATGCTGTTATAGTTATAAAGTATTGCTGTTGACATGTATATGAGCAGCATGTGATAATTTTGGGAGGGTGATGTCTCTCTTTTAGGTAGGATCTCAGTTAATAACTGCGAATGAATAAATCTGATATTAGGTTAAAATAACATTTACATATAATAATTATATATAGTTTATCTAAAGACAGAGCTTCAGACATAATCATTAATAATCACAATATTATGTCGAAAAGATGACTGTCACTTATCATTAGGATGATAAACCACAGGAAAAGGCAATGCAATCTGCCATTTTTTGTTACATTATGCCCTTCTAATTACTTTGGTGTTATCAGATGCTAAATATTTAATTTTTGTTGGTATTCTGTTGATATTCTGTCTGTGTTGATCAGCCAGTCCAAAGCAAAAAAGAAAAAAATAGCATAACAAACTTGATAGCGTGCTCCTTCATAGATTACCTAAAAATGCAAGATTATTTGAAACGCCCTAATATAGTTGTACTATTTTGATAGATAATGGGTCACAAGAATGGTTTTTATTAATTATCACTGATTTATGTGTGAATAAAACAATTTAAAAGCATTTGAACTCCTTTCGTGGATCTCAACCTGAGTTATATTTGTGCTGCATAAAATTAAGCAAAAAAAAGCACCATATTTTAATATGTTTCACACAAAAATAAAACATATTTTTCAAATTCTAGAGCATTGTTTGTGGTTCTCCTATTTATGGTGTAACATCAGGACAGATTTATCTGAGTTTAATGTCCAATTTCCCAATGTTTGGTGTTTGTGAACCTTTGACCTGCTGATACAGACATTAGTTGTTTCTTGCATCTTTCGCACCCTGGGTGAGACCCTTCTTGTATCACCCAGAAAACACTCAGAAGATGTGTCTTTTGTAACTTATCAGAAAGATGAAGAATTTAAAAATATGTATCAGAAAAAAATGATCTAGGTGGATGTATTCAAAAGTTTCACAAAATCAACTTTAAAGTATCTGTAATCACAGTAGAAACAAATAGTCCAGAGTTGACTTGCAGATATATTGTGTTTTTCACTAAATAATTGTTTTAAAGAATCTATATTTATTGTAGAATTACTCAGTTGAATAGTTTACGTTTAAATAAGTAGGATTTTGAACAACCTGATATTTTAAAACAAAGATAAATTGATATCACGTTGATGTGTTAAGCTGGCTGAGCATCTTAATTTGGTGTGTGCATTTACCAGCTTTGTTAGCACAGCTAGCGTAGCTAAAATAAAAATCTCTGTGTATTTCTCAGCAATTTCTTAACTCTGAGCTTCCTATAAAGCTGCCTTCATTTCCAAATAATTGAAAGCTCAAAAGGAAAAACAAAACCAGAACAATTTGCTGTTCCGCTTTTCAGCTGAAAGTTTTGCTCTCTCTCGTCTTTTGCAGCCTGAATGAACCGCAGCGACGAGTTTAAAGTGTTTTTTAATTGAATATATTTTCCTAAATCTAGATACTTTCCATGTTTAACAGATCCAGTTTCATGTAACCATCGGCCACGCCGGTTATTCGCTCTACACTGGCTGCCCGTTCCCCTGCTGGATGCAGTGGGCTCTGATCGGCTATGCTGTCACCTTCATCATCCTCTTCGCCAACTTCTACTACCACGCCTACAGACGCAAACCTTCGTCGCACAAAGGCGGCAAGCCGGTGGCCAACGGCACATCGGCTGTGACTAACGGCCACAGCAACATGGAAGAAGTGGAGGAAAACGGGAAGAGGCAAAAGAAGGGAAGAGCGAAAAGGGAGTGAAGAAGATAGAGGCGCGTGCCTGGCAACAATCTAAAAGTGGACGGAGAAGGAGGGAAGGGAGGGGAGAAATAAACCAGACAATCATTTCTGCAGATAATGTAGATTGACGTGATTCGGGACCAACTTGAGGAGAACAGCGGGTGTCGGGTGTGTGTTTATGGGCAAGTCTGTAAATGCTTCTGGTTTTAGATGGAAGACATTTGTGTTGGTTGTCTGCAAAACAGTTTGTTAATGAAGAAAAGCAAAATGCTGACCACATAGGCTCCACGCTCGTCTGTCCAACTGTGTTTTGGACCCTGTTAGGACCAAAATGTCACAGAAAATGCACACCTGCTCAGCATTTACAACCAAAATTCACCTCCAATTTTTGTACTCTGGATTCTAATACTGCTTTATCTAAGAGCTTAAATAGTTAATGTGCTAATTTATTTGCTAGTGCTCTAAAAATTTTTTGATTAATTTTAAGCGTTACCAAAATATATTTTTTTTTTTTTGTTATTTAAATCTTTTTTGGGGGGGAGCAGAGGGTGTGGGTGGGTGACATTATGTTTACAGATGCAGTTGATTTAGATATGGTTATCAAAGAAATTTACAAAATCCTTATATTTGCCATCTGCTTTATTTGCATTGCCTTGCAAAAGTATTACTACCCCTTGATTATTTTGTTTAGCTACAAATTTCGATAATCCTTACTGGGATTTTATGTGGCAGATAAACACCAAGTAGCATTTTTTTCAGGCAACAAAAGGACAAGACTAATTTCTTGACATTCATTTGTACATACACTGTAAACAATCTTTCACACAGCTGCACGTTTTTGGTGTGTTTCTACTTTTAAATTTTGCTCCGCTTTATGTTGGTGTCTCATGTACAGTCCCTATAAAGTATATTGGAATTTGTAACTTGATACTGTAAAAAAAAAAAAAAAAAAGAAAAAAGTTGAAAGTGTACAAATACTTTTGCAAGGCATTGTTACTTCTTTGCAGTTATCTACAGCATCTTCCAGTCCAACTGGTTGTGGACGGTGCCGTTCTTTGCAAAGACTACGACCGTGCTGCATTTATAAACTCATATCCTACTACCTTTTTGTTCGGAGATAATAAAAAAGAAAAAAAAAAAGCTGATTTGAAAGACTTGGGATAAAACCTTAGAGTTGTTTGGATTTTTAGAAAAAAGTTGATGACCCTGTAAAAAAATATATATCTTTTTTTTTAATGGGTCTTCACACATTATTTCCTTTTACTGTGCGTCATAGATGAGTTTCAAGGATATTGTCTGACTCCCACTTAGGACCGCAGGGAAATTCATCCCAAAGGAAAAGCTTTTTTTTTTTTTTTTTTAAAGAAATCAACAGGTCATTTTATTGTCTTGTCTAAAGAAAGGTGACTGCTTCCTGGCTGCACAATTAAATAAAATAAATAAACTGTCAGCACTGCATAGATTCTTGCGTTCTTGTGTTAGTGCATGTAGATCAGTTGACAATCACTGTTTCTATGACACTTCGTAATACAGATGAGCCTGATGCCATACCTAATGCAGAGCTAAATCCTTACCATCCGCTTCGCACCTTTTCCCTATCTTTCTTCCTCGTTTTGTCTTTCCATTTTCTCTGCATCTCCAAGTTGGAAAGATCTCCGAGAAGGTCTCTGTGTGAGAGAGAGGCTGCACCTGCAACCTGTTCAGACAGATCTGCCCTAATCTTTGAAAGCAAATTGGCTTTAGCTCCAAAAGAGCTTATTTCCACGTCACTCCACCAGCTATCCAAGGAAGCAGGTCACTGTCAAGAGAACCTACCGCTAATCTCTCAGCAGTTAGCAATTGCTAAAGGAGAAAAGCGGGAGTGTTACTGTGAAATTTAAATCTAGTTGCAATTTCTACGTACACGTTAATGCTTTTTCTTCAAAATAAATACATTAATAAAGGATGATTTTAAAGAATACTTCAAAACAAGTAGACAGTTACAATTTTTTTATTTATTTATTTATCTTTTTTTTACAAAACTACATTTTGTAAATGTTATCATTCCTATGCATGCTTTGCTTTTTCCCCCTAGTTTCTCTACTCAGTCCATTATTGCTCTCTTTGAAGGACAACTTTTTTTGTGAACCACCCCCCTCTGCCTCCAGACATTAAAGTAGGGGTAAAAAGGACTGTTAGAGGTAAAGATGTGACAGATATTCTGGATGAGTTCAGCGCAAGGGAACACATTTGTCCTCCTGAGGGACATAGAGGGATCTAAGCCAAGGACTAAGAGGATTGCAGAGGCCGGGTCAAGGCTTTTAGCACAGGGCACTATAACCTGCTCCCCCTCCATGCTGCAACAGGAATGAACAAAACTGTTTGCACGTTACTGGAAAGGCACACAGACTTATGGAGCGGATTCAGCAGACGTTAATAAAACAAGCTGTATTCAAGTACAACTTGAGGCAACAGAGGTAGCTTAGAAAAACTATTTATATGATGCTAAATTTGTCTTTACTTCATTGTTGTTGTTTTTTTTGTGTG